TCGGCTCCGCACGGCTCGCACCGGCGCGGCTCCGGCGGGCCCGCGGCAGCCCAGCCGCGCCCAGCTCCCCTTCCGCCCCGGCCAGCCCCGGCACTGCCGGCAGGGCTCCGCGCCGCACCCTTCGCTGCCGGGCCGGGGGCAGAAGAAGCGCCCCGAATGCAGCGGCACAGCCCGATCCCCGCCCTGCCAGCGCTGCCACGGCTGCAGCTCCCTTCCTCTGAAGCCCGAAGACTGACGCCACGCTCCGGCGCTCACCTCACGCCGACAAGGGCACAGAAATGTAGGCTTCCCTTCAATCGCGTCCCCTAGAAGAGAAGAAAAGAAACGGCTTGCCTCGAATGATGGCAAAAGGGGGCTTTTTACCTCAGTCCAAACCCCTTAAAAGGGGGGACAACAGGACTGCCCCCTCCAATTCAACCTCAGGAGGACGAAGTTTCAAAGGGAAAGGAGAAAAGTCCCGGCTGCAAAGGCGCACCGGCTCACCTGCTGCTTCTCGGCACAAAGGTTTGTCCCTCGGCTCCTCCTTTGAACAATGCTCCACGTATCCAGGTGGGTTTCCAGGTGATCCCCCGGACCCTGTCCGAAGCGCCCACCATCCTTCCAGGAGAGAGCCCCGGGAGCCCCCCATCAACTCCTCTCCTCCAGCAGCTCCGTGCAAAAGCATTGCGAGGAAAACCCCCTAAATCAGCCGCCGGAGGAGCCGCGCCCTCCTCATCATCCTCACAGCCCACACCTGGGGCTGCTCTGAGCCCTCCTCATCCTCACAGCTCACACCTGCCGCTGTTGCCGCTCTCCAACAGCGTCTCTCCGTCTCCAGCACACAGCCCACTTCGCACAGACACAGATCCAACAGAAATCTGCTACGGGTGTCGGCTTTTCTTAATCCATCTGGGTACACGACTAAAACACATACATGCATTGATGGTCATTGAGAGAAAGCTTTCCCCTGGAGAAAACAGTCCTTTTGCCGGCACACTTTGATACACCTTCGCAAAAAGCAGAAGCAGTAGCGAGTCCTAAGACCCCTGCCGAAGAACCCAGCCCTGCCTGGGACACCCAAAGCAGCAGACCTCGAAAAAGGAGGGGAAAAGTCAAGCTTGGAGGGGAAAAAGAGGATAGAAATACAGCAGCCTTTAAAAATGCCTGCACGGAGCAATAGTGGGAACCAGTCACATTTCTTCTTTCCTTGCTTTCTGTGATGACATAAATAGGAAGTAAGAACACGTTAAACAAAAGGCAGAGCTAGGATTTGACAGGCCTTCATTTTGGCAGGCGCCCCGAGCTCCACGGCTGCGGGGGAAAGAAGCGAAGGGGCGACGGCAAGAGAGGAGGGAGAGCGGGACATGCGAAAGGGCGGGGAGGGAGGTCGGGC